ACAGCAACCTGCCATACAGCAATAAAAAGTGTTTTTGTTTGCTTCTCGTCTACCTCTTATCATATTTTGTTACTTTAACAGTCAGCGAGGCCACAATTTATATGTAGTTATAGGACGCGTCCACACACAAAATAATGTGACGGCTGCAAATAATCCGCTGGGAAGCTGAAAAACGTTTTTAATAAAACGCTTGACATGAGAGAAAAACATTTCTTACTTTAGTACGTCAGATCAGACTTTCAGGCACAGTAAAATAACATCGCCATCATATTGTTTTCGAGGGTTTTAATACATCATCAGAATGCACAGGTGAATACATCCAGGGCAGTTTGGTTTTATTAGTTTTCTGTTTGTAAAAAAAAAACAACAACAGACAAACAAAAACAATCTGGCTTTGGACGCCCAGACCTAATGATGCCACCGGTCAGTAAAAAGCAGATGTACGTTAGGCATTAATAAAAGAACGGCCTATTAGTTACAAATACAACCAAGAGGTTCACATACATAATTAATGAAGCCGACTCCAGTGGCTCTGACGCATAACTTTTATAAACAAGAACAAACATACAGGTAAACAAAGAACATAGCCATAAAGCTTTTGTGTACTGAGAAAGTGAATGTAAAGACGTTAATGAAAACTAGACAAACAAAGAAGCCATTCATATACATACTGTTTGCCAGATACATTACAGGAGCACAGAGGGACTTGAAATACTGGAGATTTAACCTGGAAAATTAGTAGATTTGATCCCAGTAATTGAATCATTTTTCAAGTTATTTTAGGAAATATTAAAATGAATTAAAAAATGTGGGACATTGTGTTCTTGAAAAAGTAAGGTCATTTCACTTTCCATTTATGCTCAGCCCATGATCACATTCATTTTGCAGTAATTTGTAATTGCTTAAAATTAAGTAGACCATTAAAAAAAAAAAAAAAAAAAAGCACAACTTTTTGCATTAATCAGCAGTTAACATAATAATAAAAACAGCAATAAAATAAACAAATATAGAATGAAGCTTTAAACATGTCTAAAAACAAATAACTAGTGAAATGACAAAAATACAATTTGGGAAATTATGTTCTGCTCTGTGTTTTGTTCCCGTGTTACGATCCAGCCTCTCGGGTCAGCAGGGGTGTCCAATCCTGGTCCTCGAGGGCCACAGTCCTGCATGTTCTAGATGTTTCCCTCTTCCAACACACCTGATTCAAATGATCAGGATTGTTATCAGGCTTCTGCAGAGCTTGATGATGAGCTGATCAGATACAGCTGGGCCGACACAGGTCATCTCCACACACAAGGGTCACAAGTCCACATAACCATAACGACACAAACACCACGGGCCGTAACATCCCGTTTTAGGAGGATTTTAGGAGGAAAATGCAAAAAGGAATTCCTTCTCGCACAACATCCAGTGTGTGACTTTCCACACTCTCACACTGTCAAATGATTTCAGTGAAATATTCAGAGAGAACAGTTACATGTAATGATCACTAATATTTTCCCAAATTATTTAATGCGGTTTTATGATCTTGCATAGAAATAAAATCATATACTGTTGCATCATGGGAAATATGAGCAACAGGTGGCGTTTTTGGGGAAAAGTCACTGTCAGTATTTTGTTTTGTGGATGAGAATGACAGCGGGAGTCATGTGACTGTATTTATTATTGAACATTTTTTAAGCTTTTTGAGGAGGCAGCTAAAAACAATCACTAGGAATCCTTATATTACCTGTCCATGTAATGACACATCCATCATAATGTATTTGCTCTCTGCCGACGACAACTTCCTGCGTCTTCACTGCTACTTGCCGTAAATGTCCTCGACCTGGCAGGAAGCCCAGAGCTCCTGCAGCGATGCATTCACTGACCGGGTTACCTCTGGCTGCTGGAGGACACACAGCGGGTGCATTTTGGTGATTGTTCGGTGTGAAAGGAACTAGAGAGGCAGGATTCGTCACACTGAGGCCTGAAGGTTCACAGAAAGCATGTGACTGGTTTACACACTGACAGCGACACAATACAGCATTTTAAAAATATTTTAGCTGTTTCAGTTTCCTGGTTCTGGTGTTGTTTATGTGGTCTCACTGCAAATTTAAATGACTATTAAGTGAAGCGGGATGTCATTCATGTGTTGTTGTGTTGTTTGTTAAAGTGGCTGCACAGCAACACAGGAATTATTTTGCTGTTGTGTTCTTGATTGCAGACAAACAACACTGTATATAGATACAGACGAGTGACGAAAAGAACAACAGAAAGTGTCACAGTGGAGTACTGGGCCACCGTGTACCACCAGAACAGCTTCAGCGCTCCTTGGTATCCAAGTCTCTGAACTCCACTGGAGGGATGGAGCTCTATTTGTCCAAAAGGTATTTCCTCATATACATCAAGATATTACCCTTTTGATTATTATGAATCCATAAGAATTGGGTAAAAGATGAGGTTTTGAATGACATTTGCAACTTTTAAATCAACATGTCGTCGTCATTTTCTAAACCTGCGCTGAACAGAAGGACAACATTAGGGTCTGAATTTCTGTGGGAGCCCGTTGAAAGAACAACACAGTGTTACGACCATGTGAGCGATCAATTCTAGAGGGACAAAAGGCCCTTACATGGTGACATAATGTATGTATTAGTATATATCTGGAGGGAGTTTCCCACATTACAAGTATGAGAGAGAGCAGAGGTCAGAAACAGCTCCACAGGGCATTTAAAAGCTCTAGAATCAGTACAAAATGTTCAATTTGGTTAAGATCTGGTGACTGTGAAGGCCACAGAATATGATTCACATACATGCTCCATTCATAAAACCATTCAGTCAACCTCGTGCCCTACGAATGAGAGTGTTCTCATAGTATAGAAATGTTTTATTATAGGACACAAGTGAGCACTCAGAGCAATGTTGTGTTGGTTTGTAGAGAGGTTTTCTTTCTAAGAGGACAAGTAGACGATAGAAAAACTACGCTTATATTATATCCACTGGTTTGCTTCACTGTAGGGGTCAAAGGTTCAGGTGTTTCCATTAATTTGTCCCCCACGGACAATTTAGAATCACCAACTAACCAACTAACCTCAACATGTTTTTGGACTGTGTGGGAGGAAGCCGGAGAACCCGGAGAGAACCCACACTGCACGGGGAGAAAATGCATGCTGAAAGATTCCAGTGCCCCCACCAGGACGCGAACCGACAACCTTCTTGCTGCGAGGCAACAGTGCTAACCAACTGTGCCACCCTGCAGCCCTCCTTTGCGATTCTGTCACCTTTATTTTTAAAAAATAAACAAAAA